TTCACCTCGGATCTTCACCATCCCCTTGCTGAGCATCTCATCATCATCACAGCCTCCACCTTCATCACCGGTAATCACCAAAGCAGAAGGGTTCGGTAGCTACCAGAAATGGGGAGAAGATGAAGCAGATCTAGCCGGTAATCACGGAAGTGAAGCATTCACTGAATCTCCAACCCACCGGCGACAGGTTGAGCGGCGTGCGGCGTGTGGCGTTCGTCGTTCGTGATGAAGAAGGAGAACAGAAACAGATCTGCAATCGGAAATCCATTGTTTTTTTTTTTTTTCAGTTTGAACTTAGGTGTACCGGTCATATTTCGTTGTGCCGGCCGATATACAAAATTCCGGCCGGTACACCGAATTTTGACCGAAATGGTCGAATTTTGACCAAAACAAAATTTGATGTTGTACCGTTTCGGTCAAGTGTTAAAACCAGTATGTATCGGCCATACCGGCCGGTACGGTACAAGATTGACTTCTTTGGGTGAAACACGTACTTATTTTATTTTATTTTATTTTATTTTAAATTTTTGTAATTTTTATTTTTTAAACCAATACACTATGTCATTAATTTTAATATTAATATTACGTATATAATTTTAATATACTGAATTTTTTTTTAACTTTAAAATTTAAGAAAAGTGCTTTATAAATTGCCATTTAAAATTTTTTTAGAAGATTTGTATAAAGTCTCATATTTTATTAATATTTTTAAAAATTAAACATTTGATTGAAAGTTTTGTTCTTATAGATAAGCATATTAAATTTTGGAATAATCAACTAGGTTTAACTAATTTGTTATTTACATAAAATTTAGCACTATTATATATATATATATCAACAAGGACACTAATTTTTACACTCACTAATTTAATATGTCATGTAATACACTTATTGGTTCTTAATTACTTCTTAATTGCTCATTTTCTCTTAGAAGAAAAAAAATCTCCAAAATGAATTCGTCGTAATTATCAACTGCAACCCTTTTTTTTTTATAAATAATCATAGATTTTATTAAACTAAATAAGTACACCAAAAGAATCCATGATCATTGCCTCGTAGGCTAAGAAGCAAAAACCTGTAGTGACACTAGTATATGAAGATGTATCTGAGAGCCTCTAAACACTAAGTAGAGCAATAAAAATGTCGTCAGGTTATAAAAGAGTTATACTTATATATTGAGTAAATAAAAACATTACAATATTATGACACCTTAAGTCTTACATTAAAATAAATATAAGTGTGACTGGTATATAATTATCATAATTAATTATTATTAATAATTTAAATTTAAGTTTTTAAGGGTGCATATAACTTCGCCCAATAGGTTTTTAGGTTAGTACTCGTCTGTAATTTAATCAATCACTCGACAAATCGTAGACTCATCCACCTGCATCCCAAAGGTTGTGCCCGAATTGTCCACTAAATCCTTTGATGCTTGGCCTTTATTCAAGCTCCCAGCACTAGATTTTCTCTTCGTTTTCACTTCCTTCTACTTGCTCGGAGATGTGAGCAATCCTCTGATTAATGTCTTCCGGTTACCTTTGTGCCTTTCGTGGAAATCCAACCCAATCGAGCAAGAGGCATATCCACCAATAAAGAGTCTGAAAATTATAAATAAATTTAATTCTTAGTGTTTTTATTTTTTTATTATATAAAGTTATAAATTTACAATAATAATATATTATTATAAAATTAATTTTTTTAAATTCATTTATAATATTATATCTATTTACTTAATAATATATTATAATTATAAAATTATACATCTATATGGCATTGTAATTAATTTTTTTTATCCTAAACACTACCGTTTCTATAACAATGAAATCTGAATAATTTTTCCCAAAAAGAAAAAAAATTTACTATAATTTTTTAGAAAGATCAATTTCATTCTTTTTTTGGGATCATTTCTAGTATCAAATCATTGCCTTCTAGAAAATATTGGATGGAAGAGATATAAGAAAAACCATATAAGAAAAAGATGTTTGAAAAACCGCACAGATTATCGTCTACCTTATTCTACACGAAAAAACAAATTTCCCTTTCTTTAGTCAAAATGAAGACGACGCAATATTTTTAAAAAAAATTATAAATTAGTACCACCGTATAAGAGAATTGTTGCGGCATGTGGGTTCTAGATGGTGGTTGAAAAAAAGCATGCAAATTTCAGCGTTTGAAATTTGGTTGCATGTGAAATTTCATGGCAGCCTAATTTTGTTGAAAAAATTGAAAGTCTCGTGACAGCCTTTCAATGGAAATTTGGTTGCTACAACTTTGTTCTTGCAACATTTATTGTGCATGGTTGGATGATGACTTTGGAGCCTATTGCATTCATTGTGGGTGGTTAGCATTTGGCTATAAAAGGCCATTTGGCCATTCGGCAAAGACACCAAGAGAAGAGCAATCCAAAGCAAAGTGAGCTCTAGAAAATACAAGAGTTTTTAGTGCTTTGGGAGAGGGTGAGCAAAAGCAAAGTGGTTAGCAAAAGCAAAGTGGTTAATTTACTTTGCTGAGTGTTTTTTTTTAGTGTGTCTCGCATTCAAAACTATTGTGAGTAAGATTTGGGTGTAATTGAAAATTGAGTATTTTTTTCTGAGAGTATCACAAATTGTATCTCCCTATTTTAATAGTGAATTTTTTCTTGTGAATATCCGTTGGAGCTGAACACGTAAATCCTGTCTTTCTTGTGGTGGTGCATCTTTTTTATTCCATTAATTTCTTAATCTTGTAGTGGGTTAACCAAAATCTCAAGCAATTTGTTCCAACAAGAATGATGTTTGAAAAACCGCACAGATTATCGATCGTCTCCCTTACTCTACACGAAAAAACAAATTTCCCTTAATTTACCCAAAAATGAAGACGTGGATGCGGAAATTCAGTCACTTTCCTGGAAGAAAACTCAAGCTCTAATACCCGAGCTATTTAAGCTCCTTGACATAAACAGCTAGCCATTTCGCGATACTTCAAAATTTCTTCCTTCTCTTTCAACCCAAAGCACATAGCAGCTCCTTGTCTCCATGACCTCATCTAACAAACCAAGCCACCACTGTAACGAGGAGCACCAGCACCATCAGAACCACCACCACTGTCCGTATTCAGGTCCACTCTTTATTATAAATCCTAATGCTTATACCATTATGAATATTCCTCATTGTTCGACCCCGAATTCGGTGCATGCTTTTGAGGTCAATACAGAACCACTACCAATTCCCTCCGGTATCTACGGTGCTTGTATGTCTCATTGCTCGAACACTTTGGGCTCTTTTGCAGAGAAGATTAACGTGCATGCAGATACTATAAGGCTAGTTCCTGATAACAAGAATTCAGGGTCCCAAAAGCTTTCTTTCACTTTCGATGCTCTTGAACCTGGCAGGTATTATTCATCGAGCTTGCTCTTTTTATTTTTGTTTTATGCAGCAAGTTCCCTCCTGCGTAGTATTTAGGCTTGAAGATGCCTCAGTATTTTCCGGTTGAAACAAAATAACACTTAATAAAAAAAGTTGAGGCAATTTATCATTCCAAAAAATTTTGTGCTGAAGAAATCAGCCTAAAATATTTTTCGCTAGCAATTAACTCCCTACGAAAGCTTTGTTAGCAAATTCGAGACCGAATTGGTCTGGGATCGCCCTATTCAATTTGATGTTTTGTTTTTAGAGATATAAATTGAAATCAACTATGAGATAATAATTATTAATTTTTAACAAAAATTGAAGTAACTCAAATATTTCTAGCTTTATGTTAAAAATTTATAGCACTCCATTTTTTTTTTTTTGGTTGAAAAATAAAGACAGAAAATTTTAATAGATGTTCTAAAATAAACATTAATTTAAATAAAATATATTTAAAAGAAAAAAAAGTGAGTGATATGATATTATAATAAATTTTTTATTCCTATAATAACATTTGTTTTTTTCTTAATAGAAAAAAGTTGCTCTTTTTATTCATTTTTAATAGATTTAATTTAAATTTTTTTATTTTTAAAATATAAATTTTAAATGAAAATTTAACAATTTATATCAACAACAATTGAAATTTTTTTGTCCCTCCGGTGCATGTTTTCGTGTTTGGTGATCTTTTTTTTTGTCCCTCCGGTGCATGTTTTCGTGTTTGGTGATCTTTTCTCATAGTGGAGTTCTACTCCGGTGCTTACTGGAGATAGACTCCTGCATGTGCTATAAGTGTCTTTGTTTGGTTTTATTTGTCGTGTTTGCATGAATGAGAAAATCCCTAGTGTAAAATATTTACTACTTGATGCTATGCTAATATAATAAAAAAGGAAGGCTTTTTCGTAAAAATGTGCTAAAATTGAAGTTCTTTCCTTCTTTTCTGTCTTGTTTATTTAACAATAGGAAAGAAAGATAGAAGCAATCAAAGTGATGAAAAATTTCAATTGTTGTTCATATAAATTGTTAAATTTTCATTCAAAATTCATATCCTAAAAATCAAAAAGTCAAACTACATCTCTAAAAAATGAATGGAGGGAGTAATAATTTTTATCTTAAATTTTAGATGATATGATAATCTTAATTAAAAATCACTTTAATAAGAATCTAATAATATTAACCAACAATATATTAGTTTAAGTAGAAGGAATTTAGTTTTTTAAAGTAAGATGTTAAGTTTGAGTATTGTGAATAACAAAAAAAGCACTAAGCTAACTTTTAATAAGATTCAACTCAACTCAACTCAAGTTCAGATTAATTGAAACCCAACAAGACCTTTGAATATCAGGGGTTTAGTATCAAAAAAAAAAAAAAAATTAATGATATTATTTTATGTATCCAATAATTTAATATCACTTTCATATTGTATAATGCAAAACACGAGGTGGGGTAGTGCGTGTAACATCACCACTATTTTGCGCCCAATTTTGGTAAGGGTTATTGCCATACATGATTTCATAACTTGTTGCCATACATGAAATTTCATAATTTTTTAAAAAAATAATTTCTAGTTTTACTTTTCAAAAATTTGAAGCCATACCATGCCGTAGCTTAATTTTTACATTGATCATGTTGCTTCTTCCTCGGGCGCTAGTTTTTGTACGTGGACTATATCTATTGATGAGTTTTTTTTCATTGCTTCCTCCTGACAGCTTCACCATATTTTACGTTGCCAAGGAAGAAGCCAACTTTACCTTCAAGCCCGTGGGTTCTGTCATACAAGAACCCAAAATATATCAGTTCCAGAAAGGACTGGCTCAGAAATTCGATCAGCCTGAAGGCGGCATAAACCTCAGCGTATTTAAATCGGTTGAAACTTTTAAACACGAAGGGGGTGTTTACCCACTTGTTATCTCTGCAGAAATAAGTTTGTCATCTTCCTGCTCAGTGCCTCTGCCTATCGCAACTTCTCATGGACAAATTACTCAAGCTGTTCTGGAGGAAAATACAGAGGGCCATTTTCAAGTGAAAGTAATGAACCAGAAATCATGGTGGCATAAGATAAGTACTAATAATGAGCCAAGGGATGACATGGCAGATACAGATGTTCCTTTAAAAAAAAGAAAGGTGAGAATTTGATCATAACCAATTTCACATATTAATGGTTTAAGTAGATCTTAATAATTAATTTTGTCCTATAAATTGAGCCCTTTATTCATTCAATTCCATGGGTGACATGAACAGATATCAAAGCCAGCTGGGGACGAAGCTTGCAATGCTGGCTTTAGAACAAAACGTATTAACAGCAATTTCAAGGGTGCAAATTTCATTTTCAACAACCTAGGACCAACTAATATTGTCAAATACATGAACATAGGTCCTGGTGCTGGTGGTAGAAATGAAGGCAAGAAAGCTGGAAGTATCAACGACAATAGGGGATGTGTTAGTTTCACATTATAGTTGTTGAACGTGTACTCTTAAAGGTCAATGTATTTATTCTTTTCACATACATACTTTTATATTTTATAAATTATTAAATACATGCCCTAATTATTGTGTATGGGATAGCATTTTATTTGTATAATATATAGTTATAAATTCTCCTCATTCTTTTTTTTTTTTAGCTTAACTTTCCAGTCCCTGTTGGTAATTTAAAGTTTAATGATTTTTCTAAATTGTGTCCTTAATTAATTTCACTTTTTTCTCATTAATTGCTATAAAAAAATATCAAAATTAACTTCAATTTTATCAATGACCTAATCAAAATTATGCATGTAAATTGTTGTTGAAAATGAAATTAACTTTTATATTTTCCAATATTAATTAATGAAAAAAAAAAGTGTAAGTAATATACTTTTAACTTGTCTCTTAAAAAACACAAGTTAGATAAGCCCAAAGTTTAAACTTCTAATCAGTTCTTTCTATGTTTCTGCAAGGGTTTTCTTTATGCTCAATGTTATACAATAAATACATTTTTTATTATAAATTATGTAAAAAATACAAATTAACATTAATTTTAATATCAATATTACATAAGTAAAATTAAATAAATAAATAATTAATTAAAAATTAACTTTTATTCTTAATATAAATTTATGATCAAGAAATATATTTATCGTATATTTAACTTGTTCCTTAAGAACATATATAGTTAGAAAATTAGATGTTGTTATTACCATACACAAATTTATTATGGTCACACAATTTTAATTTTTCACTTTAAATAGTTAGTTGTGGTGTTTAAAAACATTAGTTTTGAAATTAATTTTAAAATGTTAACTGATAAATATTAATTATTTTGTTAATTATTAATTAATAACTACCGTTATTTACTATTACTAATGATTAAACCAAATAAAATGGATATTTTCAAATACAATATTAATAATTTTGTTTGGTCACAACACTTCAAAAAACATCAATTGCGACGCCAAGACCTTCTCCAACATAAACCGTCATAAC